AAAATTCTTAACTTTTAATCCTGTTTTTAGTGGGAATCCTCACATTTTTGTCATCCTATATGATATTTTTCAAAGGTTCAGTACATACTCTTCAGTGATTCATTCATCTATTTCATGCTTGCTATAGCCTTTAAAAATATGAGTGGTCTGATATTATGCAAATTATTTTCTGCAAATATTGATAGATCATGATTTTTATCCATTAATTTGTTCATCACTCAGTGTTCTCACAAGCACCAGATACCTACCATCGTCAAAAGATTAATTGTAGAGTGTTTAATATAGAGACTATTTTCCAAAGAATGAGTCCAGTGAAGGGAACAAATAAGCAATTGTTGGGTGCCAGTACTGCCATTAATTAAAACTGTGTGAGAGGAGGAAACAGTGTTAGTAAAAGGGAAAAAATCTCTAATTGGGAGATATGGGCTTCCTATAGAAAGTTGTCTGTAGATAGGGAGCACAAACATTACAATGACCTCCTCATCCTCTGCTTCCTTTTGGCTGAACACAGCTGTAAAAGAAGGATAGGGCTTGCTGGGTAAACATAGAGGCTAGTTTTCAAGTCACAGAATAAGATGAAGTAAAGAAAGCGTGGCTCTGGTTGGGCAAACGGATTTTATTTAGTTCAATGCCTCCATGTCATGAATTATGATAGATTTTACAAAGTTAACTGTGCTTGCATTAATGGGATAAACTAAACCTGTTTATACATGGATGTGTTTGATTTAATAATGGTTTACTCAGGATTTTAGCATTATATGTTTGTAAGTCAATGTGCCTATTATTATTTTTTCTGCTGTCATTTGCTGAGCTTGAAAATCAGTGTTATCCTCACCTCACAAAAAGTCCAGATTATCCAAGCAATATTTCAAAAGCCAAGTTTTAATTTTAAAAGCATCTTGGCAATCACCTGTATAATTCTCTCCATTCCTGTACCTGTACAGTAACAAATATTTTTTTAACCCCTACCTGGACTCTGATTCCCACTCCAAACTAGCAGAATGATTCTCAAACTACTAGAATCTTGTGGGATGTCTGTTTACAATTTAAATATCTGGCTTGAAGCAGTGTTTCTGATTGGAAGGTTAAAGTGGAGCTCAGAGACCTGCAGAGGTATGAAGCTCTGCAACTGTATGTACATGAAGGTTCCTAGCAGCACTATTCACTGTGGTGATTATCCGTCAGCAGCAAAAGGGTTAAAACCCTCTGCAGCAAAATCCCCCCTTAAAGTAATCCTGCCCAGTTTACACTAACTGGTCATAAAATAATGCAGTAACACTTACCAAAAACAGCGTGAGATAAAAATAAATCTTTCTCCCACTGAGAAGGGGCCTTCTTTGAGGCCGAAGTAAACAACTTTGTCAAGTTTTTGCTTTGATGTGCAACTTCAGATACAATGCTGTCGGTTCTGGTTCCTGGAATAACAGGATCAGAATGCTCTGCAAAATGCATTTCCTAGATATCCACATTCCCTGAGACTCTTTCTTGCCTCTTCCGCCCCTTTTAAAACTTCCAGTCCCTCACCCTGATGGTGCAATTGCTCTCTTGGAAACTCACCTGCTGGCCCTCTTGTTAATGTACTCTGATCTGAATAAACTTGTTTTTTCTTATTCTGATCTTGAATAACCGTGTGTGTGTGTGTGTGTGTGTGTGTGTGTGTGTGTGTGTTGTTGGAGATTGGAACAGGGCCTTCACACTGAGCTACACCCTCAGCCCTTTTAATTTTTTTTTTTTTTTTTGCTGTACTGGGGATCGAACTCAAGACCTTTCATTTTCGAGGCCAGCGCAATGCCACTGAGCTAAATCTCGGGCTGCAATTTTTTTTTTTGTTTTGAGAAGGGCTCTTGCTAAGATGCTCAGTTGTCCAGGCTCGGCTCTGACTTGTGATCCTCCTGCCTCAGCCTCCCAAATTATTTAACCAGAATTTGCCACTGGCCTTCTGCAAAACCATGCCACATTGCATTCACAGTAGTCAAAAGGTAGATACAGTCCACATGTTCACAAATGGATGGATAAAGAAATTATAGTATATATACACAATGGAATATTGTATAGCTACAAAAAAATTAATGAACTACTGATATATGCTCCATGAATAATCCTGAAAAAGAGTATGCTAGCCGGGTGCAGTAGTGCACACCTACAATCCCAACACTCCGTGGACTCAGCGGAAGAATCTCAAGTGAAAGGGAACAGTGGGATATGAAGTGAGTTCGAAGCTGGCCTGAACTAAAAAAAAAATGAGACCGTATCCCCCAAAAAACAACAAAATAAGCCGCTCATGACAGCATAGGATTACACTGCAACTTCAAGCCCCACTTGGGCAACTCTAGCAAGACCTTGTGTAAAAAAAATAAAAAATAAAAGGGGTTCAATATGTAGCTCATTGGTAGAGTGCCTCTGGATTTGAGCTCCAGAACACACGCGTGCACCCACGCGCATACACACACACACACACACACACACACACACACGGGCCAGGGACACAGAGAAAGCAGTGTGCTAAGTGAAAGAAGCCAGATACAAAAGGGCACAGATTGTGATTACATTTATGTGAAACGTGGAAAATAACAAATCCACTGAGAAAATAGATTGGTGGTTCCAGCGGGTGGAGGAGGGGTAGGTAGCTAGCCGCGCTTAACGGGTACTGGGGGTCCTTCTGGGGTGTTGACTATGTTTCAGAGCTACACGGTGGTGGTCGCACAACGTTATAAATGCACTGAATGCCATTGAATTGTTCATTTAAAATGGCTAATTTTATATTATGTAAATTTCACCTTGAAAAAAAGGCAGCTCCCCAACTGATTTGGATTTAGAGACAATACTTTTGTCAGCCAATTTACTCATATACCAATAAGCCTCCGCTGGAATGAAGATCTACAATTCTCTCTCTTTTTTTTTTTTTTTTTTTTGGTACCAGGGATCGAACTCACGACCTTGCTCTTGTGAGGCAGGCCCAGTGCCACTGAGCTAAAATCCCCAGCCCTAGATCTATAATTCTTTGGTGTTCTCTTAACTGGAAGGCCCCTGAAGAGTTAAGTAAAAAAGAAGGGAAATGAGTGGACCATACTAAGTCCTCCATACTCCCTAACTGCACAAATGTGGTTGTCTAATTCATTCTCTTCATCTCATTCTCTCCACCCCTCCAGTTTCTTGCCTTGATAGTTTCGTCCAACACGTCTTAAAATTTTGTTATGCTTTAGGCTGAATTGCCGGCTCTGACCGATCTTGAGGGGCCTGCCTGCATTATTCTGTAATTGTTTTGACTTGTTTTTTAAAATCTAAACTGCTCTGGCCTTCAAGGAGGAAACATATGGGTTATTGGTTGCTTGTTTTCTCTGGATTTTGCAGAATTTCTGCAACCTCAATGCAAGTGCAAATCTCCAAGGATCATTCTGAGTCCTCCCCACCTTGTCTAGCCCAGTGCTAATCAATCCGTGTTCCCAAGACTCTCCTTACCCAAATTTTACTGTTGCCTCCCATCCTCCACCAGAGAGCCCCATCTGTTGCAGATGGAAAGAGGATCAAGTGCACCATGGCAGAATCCAGTCCTTTGGGTGCAATGGATGTGCAGACCAAAAAGAGCTACAGCCCAGCTTTATTTATTTATTTATTTATTTATTTATTTATTTATACTGGGGATCGAACTCAGGACCTTAGCTTGGGAGGCAGGCGCGGTGCCACTGAGCTAAATCCCTGGCCCTCTTTTTATTTATTTCGAGACAGAGTCTTACTAAAGCGTTCAGGCTAGGCTCGAACTTGTGCTCCTTCTACCTCAGCCTCCCAGAATGCTAGCATTATAGGCCTGTGCCGCTATGCCTGATTTCTGAGATCTTAAGACCCCATTCCTCTGTCTTCAGTCACCCACCCCCACCATAGAAACTTTAACTCAGACAGTGCACGTTTTCTGCATCCGACCTTCAATGGTTTTGAGACACCACTCACGCATATATGCAGCTGTTAGGAGAGCTACGCTTTTGTTTATTTGTTTTTGGTACCAGGGATCGAACTCAGGACCTTTCGCTTTCGAGGTAAGTGTGGTGCCACTGAGCTAAATCCCCGGCCCTTTATTTATTTTATTTTATTTTATTTTATTTTTGTTTTTTTGGGGGGGGGTACCGGGGATCGAATTCGGGACCTTGCCCTTGCGAGGTAGGTGTGGTGCCACTGAGCTAAATCCCTGGCCCTTTATGTATTTGTTTTCGGGGGGGGGGGAGCGGGTACCGGGGATCGAATTCGGGACCTTCTGCTTTCGAGGCAGGCAGCAGCACCACTGAGCTAAATCCCTGGCCTTATTTTTATTTATTTATTTTTTTTGAGGCAGGGTCTCCCTTTGTAGTTCAGGATGTAGCCCAGGCTGGCCTCAAACTCGCGGCGATCCTCCTGCCTCAGCCTCCCGAGTGTTGGGATTACAGGCCTGCACCACCATGCCCGACTAGGAGAGCTACTTTTAAACTCATTTTTCATTACGAATTCCTTCCGTAACGTCTCCTACGTGCCCATTTTCCAAACATAGGCTTTGTGGGGGTTTGACACAGTCACTGTGGGAGCCGTACTTCATGTGCCTCACTACCCGATGGCTCTGAACCACCTGTGGTACGTGCGTGACTGTCCCATCAGGCAGCTTGTAGCACCCGACAGCACTGTCCCCTGCCTCCGGATGAGACAGTCATGCTTGTACCACCAGTGGTTCAAGCCGGCTGCAGAAGATGTTAATTCCCTTCCCAAGACTAATCAGGTATCTGGCTTGTGTCTGGCGGAAAGGGCAGAGATATCAGGGAAGAATTTTCCAGATGAAGATAATGGCATGCAAAAATCTTAAGAGCGTGCTTAGCGCATCGTTTGAATTCATTTCTCGGACCAATCAGGGAGCTTGGTGTGAGTTACGTGGTAGTAGTTTATTATGTGTCATAATGCCTTAGATCCTGACTGAAATATATAACTTTAGGCGCCAACCCTTCTCACCAATAATGAGCAAGGTCTGAGATATGGGTGGGGTTTCTAGTTATAGAGAAAGTAGGAGTAGATACTGTTCTTGCCAGTCATTTCAGCCACAGCCAATGGTGGAGCCATAGATTGAATGTAAAACATTATGAGCGTGCTAGTACTGGCACCCGTTTTGTCCTGGCTTGCGGAATGGGCGTGCGGTGGTGAGTTCTTCAGGCTGGAGGAACTTAGCGGCTGCTTCTACAAGGTACAGTAAGATTAATTTACTTTCATACTGTAATTGATAGTTAACTGTAATTTGCTTTTTAAGGTGGTGATATAATTTGTGTGTGTGTGTGTGTGTGTGTGTGGTACTGGGAATCTAACTCAGGGACTTGTGGCTTGCCAGGCAGACTCTGTGCTGCTGAGCTACATTTCTGGACCAAAATATTATATTCTTATAACTTTATAATAGTAATAGTCTGGAATGCTTTGGATTTAGGACGATTTGGGTTCCTTAGTCAAATTTGGTCACAGAGTCGTACTTTTGCTTTTCTTTGATCCCTATTTTTTTCCGCCCTGTACTGCGAGTTGAACGCAGGGCCTTGGCGCAGAGCTACGTACCTAGCCCTTTTTAAAGGTTTAAAAAAATGTATTTTTAAGCATGTGGGGAGTTAAACCCAGGCCCTCCATTTTGAGCTACATCCCCACCTGCTGTTGTTTTTTTTTTTTTAATTTGGGGACAGGGTCTCATTAAGTCGCTAAATTGACCTGGCTGGGCGCACACTTGTGACCATCCCACCTCAGCCTCCCGGAGTGCTGGGCTTACATGTGTGCGCAAGAGCAACCACCTTAGGTACTGTGCTTTTACGTTAAAACGTGGTGATTCCTTTACGGGTTTTTTCCGATTTTTTTCTTTACATTTTATTTGCTTAAATATTGTTTGGGGTCCCTTTTGTATACGGTTGTATGGTTTTGTGGTGTTTGTGACTGAAAAATGAGGAAATTCATGGCGCCTTTGAGCAGGTGCAAGGACGGCGGACAGTACAGTGGCTGCCCGGGAACCGCGTTTGGCTTTTATTTGAGTGATGATTATCGCTGTGTACTTGTGTAAATGTTGTGCTCCTCACCTCTTCTGTTTTCGATTTGGAGCGGAGAAAAATCACGCAGGATGATCATGCAAGGATTACAACAGTTAAATGTTGCTTAGTTGCCTTTAGATGAAGTTTTGTGGGCTTTTTGCCTTTTTAAATATCATTTGTGCGGGTAGATTTGGGCATTAATCCTCTCATATACTAACTTAAAAGGCTTTTTTTTTTTGTATTTTGAACTTGAAAACGGGCCAGGCTTGGTGGTGCATGCCACTAACCTCAGCACTGTGGGAGGTTGAAGCCGTACAGTCGAATGTTCGAGTCCAACCTCTGCAGTGCAGCAGTTCAGCCAGACACGGTCTCCACGGGAGGAAAAAAAAAAAGAAGCGGGTGGCGGGGGCGGGAGTGGGGGTGGGGGTGGAGCTCAGGGCCAGACCGCGGGGTCCTTGGGGGAGGGGATCAAGTAGTAAGGAAATGCTTTCCGTGGGGAAAGCTGGACTCCTTTAAATTCCCGCTGCTCCCGGGGGAGTTATTCAATGACTAAATGCCCTTCAGTTATGTTCAGGCTGTTTCAAGTTAATACAGTATAATTGTGTACTTTCTATTTTATTCAACCGAACATGGTCCTGAGGTCCTGCGTCCCGCGTCCCACATCCCGCATCCCTTCCCTGTACACCCCTTTAATGGGATTAAAAACAGGGCCTTCCCGCAGAGCTACATCGCTGTCCTTTTTTTCTTTTTTGAGACAGTCTCGAAATCACTGAATTGCCCAGAATGGGCTTGAATTTGCAGTTCTCTTGCTGCAGCCTCCCAGAGGGATTACATGCCTGTAAGGCATGCATCATCACGGGCAACAATCCTAATGCTTTCTATGAATTTGCCTTTAAAAGTTTTATCTCATTTGCACTTAACACCGTGGTTGCTGCTAAGCCTCTTTGAACTGATACTACATACAATTTGGCATTTAATTTTACAAAACAGTTTTTGTACTCATTCATTTGCATTGTTAAATTTGGGTGTTGGTGATTTCACCGGGGTTTTTTCTGTTTGTTTGTTTGTACCGGTGATCGAACTCAGGACCTTGCATTTTCGAGGCAGGTGCGGCGCCACTGAGCTACATCCCTGGCCCATTTTACAGTTTTTGGTTTTTTGGGGGTTTTTTGTCTTGGTACCGGTTATCGAACTCGGAACCTTGCGCTTGCGAGGCAGGCGCCGGAACCACTGAGCTAAATCCCCGGCCCTTTAATGTCTAAATTCTGACCTGTCTCCTTCATAAATTTTCCTAAGTGAAATAATTTTTGAGAGTTCTTAATTTAAAAAAAGAAAATTTAATCATGTGATTGTGTCTTGTTGGCTGCCATTTAACTGAGTTTTGGGATTTTACTTCCCAGAGAGACTGTGGTTGAGGTCCTTTGCATAAGCTTGTAAACAAAGTTTTGTGGTACCTTCACTTCACAAATAAGGAAAAGAGTTTTCTAATTGAAACAAGCCATTGTGATGTTTTCGATGCAAAAAAACCTCCCGCATTGTCAGTCTGGCTGAATGCACTTGTTTAAGGGCAATGAGTGCTTTAATATTGCCAATCACCAGCGACTGCAGAAAGTCTTTTAGGGGCCAAATGTGGTGGCGCAGGCCTGCAGAACCAGCACTCAGGAGGCTGAGGCAGGAGGATCACGGTGAGTTTGAGGTCAGCCTGAGCTACATAGCGAGACCCTGTCTCAAAAAAAAAAAGCCTTCACAACAGTTGAGTGTTGGGTATCGTGTTATGCAATTCTGCTCCTAGTGTTTTGCGTATGATTCTTCTGAAAATTGAGGCACATTTCCGTGTACAGAAAAAGAAATGAACTGGGCTGGGGATTTAGCTCAGTGGTTCCGCCACCTGCCTCGAAAGGGCAAGGACCCGAGTTCGATCCCCAATACCAAAAAAGAAAGAAATGAACTGTAGGACTGAACACTCGGTGCTTACTGGCAGTGGAAGGCCGTTGGAATTCGTGTTGGTAGACGTAAGCGATCTTCCGGCCTCAGTGTCGCGCTCGGGCTGCGGGCACGAGCGCTGCGCCACGCCAGGCTCCCTGGCAACCACGCCCAGTTTAGTGCGGCCATTTTAAGTTGGCAGCGTGGTCGCCGGACACCTAGTGTGTATTCTGGGAGGGGGCTGTTCAAGTAGAACGGTTGCTCTCAGAAACCTGAGGACCGTGCTAACTGAGAGGAACGTGAATAAGTCTTCCCTCGAGGTAAAATACAAATGCTTCTCTTTTTAAACGATGCAGGTTGAATTTCCTTAGTATTTTTAAAAATTTATTCTTGAGTTGGACTTGAATTATTTGTATTGTTTAGTATCTAAATGATTTATTTACATCTTTATTGGTAGGACATTAATTTGTTCTTCAAATATTATCCTCTTGGGGGCCGGGGATTTAGCTCAGTAGCCTGGCGCCTGCCTTACAAGTGCAAGGTCCCGAGTTCGATCCCCGGTACCCCCCCCCAAATATTATCCTCTTGGATTAAATCAGAAATATCAGCTGTTGGTAGGATTGAAAGCTATGAAGTGCCAAGATTTTCAGGGCCGGGGATTTAACTCAGTGGTGCCGCCGCCTGCCTCACAAGTACAAGGTCCAGAGTTCGGTCCCTGGTACCAAAAAAAAAAAAAAAAGATTTTAGGAATTGGATCATGAACCTCACAAATTCAAGCAGAGCCCTAGACCTTGAACGATCTCTGGCTGGAATTTAGGATCAAGCATCAGTGCTACCTCCACTTTGCCCATAGAATTCTGAAAGAGGAGACATTTTCCAAAGAGGGCATCGACACTAGCCAATATCAGCAACTGTACTATTTGTTCCGTCAGTTTCCTTGAAGATCTGATCTCGAATCTGAGAGTAACATTATTTAATGGTTTTTATGATTCATGAAATGATCTGAAATATTAGTTTCTTGATGTCTGTGCTTTTCTTTGTTTTTGTTTTGTTTTTTGGTATTGGGTATTGAACTCAGGACCTTGTGCTTGCCAGGCAGGCGCGGCACTGCTGAGCTAAGTCCTCAGCCTCTGTGCTTTTCTAATTTACACTGTTACTAATCACTAACACTAGTCTACCCCCGGACGATCTTGTGTCACCTGGGGAACAACAGCCTTCCCTTTCCAAGGCATTGGTTGATAATCCTGAATGAGTTTTGCATCAGTCTTGAACAAAACCAGACTTCTTTGACACCCCCTTATTGAAATTAAGGGGCATCGCTGAGCAGCTAACATAGATAAGAATTCTCCAGGCCGGGGATTTGGTTCAGCAGCACCATGCTGCCTCCCTCTCAGAAGCATAAGGTCCTGAGTTCGATCCCCGGTACCAAAAAAAAAAAAAAGAATCCCCCTCTGAGTAACTCAGGATCTCTTTTGAACTGAAAGTCAAACCTTGGAACAGTCTGTCTTGGTGTCGTTACCGCAAGTTCGGTGCTGTCCTTGTTTTATATCATCCCCCACACCGCATTTTGGGGACCTTGGCTCCAGCACCCATTTTCAGAAGTTCTCTGGATAAGGGCAAGAGGGTCAATGCCCCAAACACCTACATAAATGACTTTCCAAGTTGCATAGTTTCCCTACAGTAGTGCTAGGCTGTTCACTCCAGGCACATTTTCTTGCAGATCTGAGCAGAGCCTGCCTCCGGACCTGTGATGGGACAGTGGTATGCTACTCACCCTGTGGGTCTGTGATGTGAAGAACATAGACCAGGAACCAGTTTTTAAGACAGATGAGTGTAGGGCATCCTTAACGTTATGGGAAGTGACAGGTATCTTGCAGAGGGCAGCCCGTGCCCTGTTTCGTGCCATAATTAAAGATAGGATTGAAACCCCTTCCCTGAGTCTCTAGAGGTCCAGATTACCAGCAGGAGCAGGGTCACTCCCAGGCTCTTCTGACTAATTCTATGACAAAGATGTTAATACAGCTTATTCCTCTAATTAATTAGCAAAGGCATCTTTTTCTAGTTCTTGGTTGTGTTCCTCTTGTATACCCCCACGGGTGCTACTTAAAAACACAATATGTAATTAGACTGTTTAGACTTCAGTGAAAACTAACCTTGACTTTTTTTTTTCTGGTACTGGGGATCAAACTCAGGACCTTGCACTTGTGAGGCAGGCACAGCGCCATTGAGCTAAATCCCCAGTCCTAACTTTGACTTTTTAACACCAAATATTTATCTTTGTATTTTAGAAAAGCCAGTAGCTGACATCGGAAGGATTGGCTGGACTGGATTGGAGCAAACAGACTTCAGGAGTGGAGGGAGTGTGATAGTGCCGCTCAGGTGCTTTTGTTTCAGGTATAAGAATGTGAAGATAATTTGTTTATTTTTAAATAACAGCTTTATTGAACTAAAATTTGCATACTGTACAATTTACAAACTTGAAGTGTCTGATTCAGTAGATATTAGCATATTGACCAGTTGTACAGCCATGACCACAATCAGATTTAGATCGTTTTTGTTATGCCAAAGTAAAACACTCTGCCTACTAGCTATCATCTCCCAATCCCTGCCCACTAAATCTAGGCAGCCACTGAGCTCTTCTTTATCTTCATAGATTTTCCTGCTCTGGAAATTCATTTATTTATTTTTTAATTGAAAATAGACCATGCTCATAGCAATAATAAAGGCCTTAACATATCCAAAGAAATGGAAATTCTGTAAAGCGAACTCTCACACCATATTAGATCTGAAGATAATTTGAAAACCGGTTCTATCTTTGAAAAAGGGGAAAATATATGGGACCCATGAACCAAGTGGGAGCCTGCTGCTCTATGGTTCTTGGACCATTTATTTTGTAGGAGTCCTGGAGGTATAAGCCAGCAATTAAAGTAATATGTAGGTCAGTACTTCTCCAAATCTTTATCTTTCTGTACACTGTCCATTTCCTTTACAGACATTGCTGGGACTGTAAGACTCCAGCCTGAGTTTAACAGACACTCCATTATTTTCACTCTAAGACAGTATTCTGGCAGCCCAACCAGTTACTAATCTATTATTTTTATTTTTTGCATTTAATTAATTAATTAATTTTTTTGGTACCAGGGATCGAACTCAGGATCTTGCGCTTGCAAGGCAAGCAGCGGCACCACTGAGCTAAATCCCCAGCCCAGTTATTTTCGTATTTTGTGGCACTGCTGAAATTTTCAGTGGATTCACGCATTGGAATCTGGGCACAAAGATTTGAGTTTTGCATACTAAGGCTCCTAGGTCCTTGTGTTTCCTAAGAAATGTGGAGAGATAAATGAAACAAATAGATTTGGGCAAGTTGATCATGACAGAAGGTGCTAATATCGAGTGGATCACACTGGATGTGCTTTATAATATATGTTCTCTCTTGTCCCTGCTCAGATCAGAGTCTCTGTTCCAAACAGCAACCAAACCATAAGACTTGATTGGTAAGCTGTCCTATATTTTGGTTTTTCCCTCACATTGCTCTTTGATATCTTTTTTTCAAATGCATAAAGGTCCTGTGTGTGAACTGGATTTTACCTTTGTAACTGTCAGTTTTCTTTTGAGATATACAGATATAACTGGGTCAGGATTCCTTTCTTAGGAGTGATAAAATTTCACATGAATTTGGGATTGACGTTTTCAGTATATGAGAATACCAAATCTCAGAGTAGATTTTCTATCCAAAGTTTGCACTTTTGCAGTTGTCCCCTGTGGTGTATGTTGTGGAACGTGGTCTTACCCTGCAGCCTTTTAACAGTTAACCTTATGAGTTGTACTTACTGTGTAACATTTGTAGAATAAATGCCTGTAGTATATAGCTCTAACTCTCATACCTGTGATCCCAGCACTCTGGAGGCTGAGGGAGGAGGATCACTGTGAGTTCAAGGCCAGCCTGAGCTACATAGTGCGTTCAAGGCCAGCCTGAACTGCATAAGAGACCCTGTCTTAAAGAAACCAAAAAGACAAAAAAAAGTACCTCTTTGGCTTCTTTTGAAGCTAGAACTCAGTTCGATCTTCAATCTCAGTAACTGTCTTAATTAGGTCTTAATTGACTTTTTGAACCTTGGTTTTCCTCATCTGTAAAATGGAAGTCATATTTTGTTGTCAGGGATGTTGTGAGAATGAAATGTAACAATCTTTGATCCTCACCCTGTACCCAGCAGATACTTGGGAACTCGTCCTCCCTCATTTTCTGAATGCATGTACTTAAAACAAGACATTACTGTCTCAGGCATAGCTCATTGCTTACAGGTTACCCTGGCTTCTCTTTGGAAATCTCAACTCTGTATTCTTGCTGTGAAGCAAGAGGCGGCTGAGAAACTCACATAGTTTCTTGCCCTGAGTGGAGTCCTCTTTGGGCCTGCTTGGGCACCTTACCCAGAAGCTGGACTGTCCCTGAACCCAGCAGGACTTGCTAGATGTGTGTGCTGGAGGGTGCCTACCTGTGAATTAGCATTCCTAAAACTCTTGTTTTCTGTGACTATAAAAAGTCACTTCTGGGCTGCTATTATTAGTTCATTGAAGATTAGGTGAAGACATTTGACAATGTGAGAAATGCTAAATATAAATATGCAGTAACCAAAGATTTTTCTCAGAGAATTTGAATCTTTAGTCTCATTTGATACCTCTGGTGCTTCTTACCTTCTGATAGCATTATGTATCCTAAAATTCAGCCAGCTAAGGTAAAAAAATCATCCACATTTTAAAATTAGAAACGCATAGAACACGTTGACATTTCAAAGCCTTTGGATTTATCCTATAATTGGTTCAATTGCTTAAACCTTGGAAGGTGGAGGTCATTGTTATTTCTCATCAAGTAGAAAACTGAGGCCAGAGGTATTCAGAAAAAGCTTTATCCAGAATTAATCAATGGGACAGTGCCAGCAAGTTCCCTCGTTCAGTTGGATGATGATGAATTTAATTTATTTGGTCCCCAAAAGATAGGAAACTTAGCTACAGCTGTGATACCTCCTTTCGGTTGCATATGCTGGACCTACTGCTCTTCACAGTCCATCTTGGGTCTCTTCATTGGGGGAGTTTGGGGAAGGCAAATGAATGGTTTATTGGTTTTCTTTTAACTACTGACATTCACAAAATAGAGTGACGAGCAGAATTCTAAAATCTTAATCTCTATTTGAGTATATCTTCATAGAATTCAAAAACCCGGGAAAAGTGAAAGTGACCTTCGTCAAAATTTAGAGCCTGGCGTCTTGATTCCAGAGGAGTTCCATCATTTGCCCTTCAGCTCATCTGTGATCTCCTTTGTGAGTGGTTAGTAATTATTTAGAATTTTAATGTGCTGTAATTCTCAGTGTGATTTTCTCCTAGAGCTTATGTTTAGATTAAATGTGTTTTATAATTCTTGGTTTTGGTTTTGGTTTTGTTACCAGGGATCGAACTCAGGTCCTTGCGCTTGCAGGGCAGGCGGTGGAACCACCGAGCTAAATCCCCGGCCGTATAATTCTTGTTTATGTCGGTAGTAGAGATTAAATTGCATGGAAATATTAGGGTAAGCCTATATGGATAATGTATCTTTTATAAAAGACAAAAGTTTTTTTAATTTTTTTTCTAGCACAGTACTTCCTGAAAAAGCACAATTCACAGAAAGGTTAATGGCTCGATTTTTTTCTTTAAAAATAACCACCAATTATAATTGTATTGTGTGCTCACAAAGAAAGTCTAGAGACTACAAAAAGTGATAAGATTTTAACAACTAGGTTTCCATAAGAGAGGAAAAAATTTGATATGTAGAATTTGCCCGTTTCTCAGGTGTAAATACTTCCATTCTGAACAGTTTCAAGCTACTAATGTTGAATCCAAATCTAGGAAGAGCTGGGCAGTATCAGCCAATATGATTCAGTTCTGACACAGCACTGAATGAACATTAAACATCACTCAAAAACCCAACTATACAGAGTCATGACCACTGCTAGTCTATAAAAATATCCACATTGGTTCTGCTGTGGAAACTTGTTACTGGTATTTTGTAAGTAAATTTGTGCTTTGTCATTGAAGTATCTGACTTCAGTTCATGTTTTCAAGCTCCAGTATGATGCTGATGAGGTTGCTGCCCCATGGCTGAGTCAGGCAGAATCTCCAGGACGCTTGAGTAGAGTCCTGCATGAGGACTCTCCGTAGCTAGGAGTACCTCAGACAAGGCTTGTGGCTGTTAGAGTCCCAAAAAGCAGGCCTGGGAGCTTTCACCTGAGCTTTATGCTCAAAGTCGAGAGTGGAGGCTCTTTTTTTCCTTGCTTAGATCCTTCCATTCATACAGTGATTGATGGCTGGGCCAAGGACTTCACTGGAGGATATAGGACAAGAGATAACAGCTGGAAGCACGGTGGAAAGATAGTACTATAGTGACAAGCGTTTACAGTGTGTGAAGGGATATGTGTGGCCTGCTGCTCAGAGTAACATTTTTTTCCCTAAATTTGGTCTCTTCCCAACAGATCCTATTTCACTGTTTGTGCCTAGGCTGCTAAGTGCCTACCTTTCTCAAGATTCTTGAGAGCTAAGAATATATGAGAGTCATAAAAGAGAAGCATTTTAACATGTATCGTTTTTGATTCAAAAAACAAAATGGCTGCAGATGAAGATTTTTTTCATAGCTTATATGAGTGTTAATTAGAACCAGGTAAAAGTCTTGGGTGTTGGCCAAGGAACTAGGTCAGTGGTAGAGAGCATGGAAGCTCTGGGTTCGACCTCTAGCACCACAAAAGAAAAAAGCCTTGGCTGTGAGAAGTGCTTGTTTAATTGAAATATTTATGCAAAGAAGCTATCATAGTTAACCCATGCTGTGAAGAAACCCCCAAACACAACAAGTCCAAGTTCTCTTGGACTTTTGTCCAAAACAAATTTACCAGTATGCACTTAGTATAAGAATAGATGTTTAGTGTACTTCAGCCCATTGAAAGTTTTGATTCCTGTAGTAAGCAAAATATACTTTCCAACTACCTATTGTCAGTGTCTCTCATTTTTAGCCATTCCATAAGTCTGTCCTCCATTTGTACATGTAGTTAGGTTGGAAATGTCAAGAGACCACAGGGATATGTCTATGAAATTTCATAAAAATGCTTTCACTAAACTGATGTTTATTGGTATTCTGAAGGAGCTGGTACTGACTTTTTTTTTACGAGTCTGCTCCTTGCCATATCCCCTTTACCTTGAACTTTGTTTGTATCTAGGAATCAATTCTGTCTAATTTCTAAATGTAGCTTCTTGGTGACTTGGCTGGATTTATTATACAGATAGATACTCAAAGTGGAAGGAAATGTTGTGCATTTTAATGACATAAATACTGCCCTTACTCTGAAAACCCTTTTCTCTTTTTCTTGCTATTTTGTTTTGCCATTTCTTAGCAGATTCGAGGAATATAATGGTATTTCATAAAATCAGGGCTCTCCAACAACACATAGGCTTACTGTCTCATTTCATAGTAGCATAACATATGTAGGCATTTGCTGAAACTCCTATTTTTCATGCTGTTCTGATGCATCAGAAGAGATGCAGAAAAGACTGACCGTTGGTCAGTGACTGTACATGTGTTCCCTGTAGTCCTTCTGTGTAGGACTCTTCACAGTAGAGGTTGGCTAATAACTGTTTAGGTGCACAAACCAGTCAGGAAATGGAAGCTTGTGTGGGATATTTATTTCTGTATTTTATTTTATGCATGGGCAGAGTTTAAAGAATAAAATAGTTCCAGGAAGTTTACTCAAAAGAACAGGAGTTCCCCAGTCTTCTGCTATTACTAACTACATTTCTTACCATCTTTATCTAGAAATGATACCATGTGACTTTGCAATTGCAGGGAAAAAATTGGTGCTGAAAATTGCCCAGAAAACTATGAGAGTGCCAAAATGAGTTCAGATGTGGTTTTCTTTGCATTTGTTTTTTCTGTTCTTCTGACGAGAGGAGAACTACAGAGATTGGATTCTCAGCAAAGAGGGATAAAGAGACATGGAATGACAAGTAGGAGATGGTCCCTTTCCTTCAGGGACCCACATGTTAGAGGTGGGAGAGGGCTGTAAGCAGGGACCCAGTAGAGCTTCTCTTGATGAGGAGGATAAGGCAGACTGGAGGAAAAAGGCCTTTGATCTGAATGATGTCACAGGCATTGTAAGTTCAAGACATTGTTTTCTGACCCTTCTCTTTCCTACTCCCATTTGCGTTAAAATCTTCTCCAACTAGACAAGCATCATAATGGACATCACAAGCTTAGGACTTGCATTATGTGGCCTAAGATGTAGCTGGCAAATGTGGTAGGGCAGATAATAGTTGGATGGATGGATGGATGGCTAGATAGGTAGATAGGGCTTTGACATTCTGCAAAGACAACCTCTTCTTGCAGGTTTTAGCTTTAGAACACGGGCTTTCAGAGATCTAAAAATGATGCCACTTGACTTTTAAAACTTCAGTGTGTCATCACACTGTCTGCCTTGTAGTTCGTTTTAGCCAATAACAATGCCTTAAAAAGATGATTTTTAGTAAGAGAAGACATCAGATGAAACCTTAAATTTTAGTTCTTTTCACAGCAATCGCAGGTTGAGAAGTGTCAATTGCTTTAAATGTTTTATTTCAATGCGTATTCCACCTGTAGTCCTTTTTTTTTTTGGTACCAGGTATCGAACTCGGGTCCTTGTGCTTAGGAGGCAGGTGATGGAACCACTGAGCTAAATCTCCAGCCCCTGTAGTCCATTTTTTAAAATCTCAGGCAAGGAGCTGGTAACTCCATACATTTAATGTTCACGATCCTTCTTGGTCTGTTATTAAAGTGACAGAAAGACTGAGTGCTCTAGATATATGAGGAAAGGATGATAAGTAGTAATTATCATCTTTCTTATTTGAGGCCTAAGAATAATACTTTTTATCTCTGAAAAATATTTTACTCATCAAAATGCAGGAAGGAGGATTTGGGCTTCACTACAAGTATTTTAAATACTAATTTCTTGGTAGTGTTCCAGCTTGGAAATTGATAGCTCTAAGTCTTACATGTATAGCAGTGGTAATGAACCTATGGCACATGTAGGATTCACGAATTCACGGAAGACCAGTGGAAGTCAGGCCAAATTAGGCAGTACAGAAACGAGTGAAAGAGAAGTAGTTTGGGGGCAATTTGTAGTCAAACCATCAATAAGGGGATCACCATTGGAGGACCTTTTACTTTGAAGAATTATTTGGTGGGGTCAGGGATTTAGTTCAGTGGCAGCACGCCTGCCTTGAAAACGCAAGGTCATGAGTTCTATCCCCGGTACAAAAAAAAAAAGAAAAAAGAATTATTTGGTATGCTTGACTCATTTCTTTTTAAATACTTCCTCAGTGGAAAGCTGAGTTTGAGGTTAGATCAGATTGCCTAGATTGTTGGATTACTCAAAACAATAATGTGAGCAAAGCATATAAAAATTGTAGGGAAATAAGGGTTCTTAATATGACACTCTAAATTAAGTGTAAAGGAAAAGCAGATACGAATGCCTATTTGTGTATATGAGAAAGTACTGCCTTCTTGCAAAGTTGACAAATTGGTGATGTGGGAAGCCACTCTTCATTTTCTGTTTTCCCTGAGAATTCTGTACTTCTGAAATTGTACAGCTTTGCAGCCCCTGCCTCAATAGTGGATTTTTCTTGAGCCTGTGAAACATGACTCTTGTAAATAGGTGACATCTCATATTTTCATTTGTTTGGAGTTATTTGGCACAAACTTGCACAAATAAGTTGCTGTCTGAGGTTGATGTTTTCTAACATATTCCATGGGACAGTTTACCTTCAGCTTTCCATATTCCATACATATCTTTCTGATGTACCTTAATTTACAGCAGTTATGATTGCTGCCTGTAAAATTTCATATCTCCTGTTGGTCTTAATTTGATTTCAGGAAGGCAAGTGAATTTCTAAGTTTAAACTCCTTACATTGGTGTTATGATTTAGGTATAAAATATCCCCCCAAAATTTCATGTGTGTGGAAAGTGATTGGATCATAGGGCTCTGTTCACATTGGTGGATTTATCCTTTGGAGATGGATCACTGGGTGTGTGACCTAGAAGGATGTTTTCTTGTACTGAGCTCCTCCCTTCTCTGTACTTCCTGTCATGACATGAGCAGCTTTCCTTGGTCAGGCCCTTCCTGCCTTTCAGCTGGCTTACCATAGAATGGACCCACTTAAACTGTGAGCTAAAATAAACCTCTCTTCCCTTCAGTTTCAGGTGTCAGGTATTCTGTCCCAGACAGGCAAGTGACTGAGACAAATTGGTCAGTTTCTTATGTTGGGCTAGTTCTAA